CTTGTTAATGTGTCGTTGGCATCGTGCATTTTGTAGTAGTACTAGATCATCGATGGCACTGGTTGCTGCGCCCATTTATTTGTACAATGAATGATAGAAATTTTGCTAAATATATGACCACATGAAACCATACATTAGTTAGTAATTTGAGGAGATCTCATATATATTCGGCTAAGGCAAGATTCACACATACGAATTGGCTTGGTATAACAACATACACAACAATTAAGATAGTAAATATGCCTACTCAGCACTGCCAAGACAAATAATAAGCAGAGATTGTATACATGGTACATAAATGGCATCTTCACAAGCCTCTACCAAAGGGCTACAATGTTTGGAAACAAAAGAAGAAATAGGGGAGCCTTATGCATCTGGTCACAAAAATGTAAAACTCCCGTGGGGACAACATAACTGATATAGCGAGCAGCATCATGTGCCAGATGAAAAACAAATGGTATGAGAACAAAAGTGATAATTGAAATAAATGTGGAGATGTGTAAAATGTCAGTACACCTAGCATGGATCCAGTACGTCCTTCTTGAAGCTCTCAAGCTAGATAGCATTACTTGGTTATGCGTTAGTACTGAAATAAATTTCAGCAAAGATTCGGTCAAATTTTATCACATGAAAACCTACATAATATCCTCTTTGACTACATAATATCCGTTCAACTGGAAACAACCAAACTTTCTGCAATATTTGTTAAAAATATTGAGTAATAACAGTCTAGCCTGATTGGCACACTTCTTGTGTTCTTTCACCTGACACGGAGCCATCACAAGTTTGACCTATTACTAACACTGCAGTGAAACCTTGTCTGACGACCAAATACAATGTCTTAAATTTAAACTTGGCCAGACATATTAAAAACTTTTTATCTCTAGGAATTATATAGAGAGGAGACGTTCTAACCAAATAGACATTTACAGGAATCTTTAGCAAACATTGCTTTCTGGTAAATAATTTGGCATACCTTGGAACTGTAAAAAACAACATTTGTATTTATGAGGAATGGGAAAATCAAATGGAACAGATCTTTGTGTTCGCGAGGCCAGCTTATAAGTTCAATCAGATTCACTGCAAATATTAGACAGTGAGTGTACTCTAGTAATACCACATGTACTCGTGAATTAGAGAGCAAAAATTAATACCTAATTTATAATCTTCGTGTAGTATTACTACTACTACTCATAATTGAAAAGTGACCACATGATTTAGAGATAGATAATAATCTACATAATGTGAAAAAGAAATTTTGGATGCTGACATATACTGCAACAAAATTCAAGATACTCATAGACTCTATTATATTGTACTCCCTCCATAAACTAATATAAGAGCCTTTAGATCACTACTTTAGTTATCTAAACGCTCTTATATTAGTTTACAGAGGGAGTACTTGATAATTTGCTAACTCCAGCATAAATAGCAATTCTTTTGCTGTCAGCCACATAATTAGCTAAGTACAAGAGGGGCGAAATCTAGGAAAGGAGAAAATGGTAAGGCCTCATTCGGTTTGGAGGATTTTCGTAGGAAAAACATAGGAATAAGGATTCCAGAGGAAAATTTCCTATGTATGCATTCGGTTTGTAGGAAATGCGTGCAGGAATTTCATAGGAATACTACTCATTTTCCATGTTTTTGGAGGAAACTACACATCCACTCAAAGCTCATTTTACGCGTAGGAACGAGGCAAGTCAATTCCTTAGGATGGCAAGTGCCATCCTATCATATTCCTATACTACTCATAATTCCTACATTTTGATTTCCTCCAAACCGAATGAGCCCTAAGTACTAAATGTTTCCAGCCGAGGGACTTCAGAATCATGTACTTATGCTGGAACCAAGTTGATGCTCCATTGCTATCTTAGCATCCATATCTAAAACTCAATAGGTGGTACATATTGGAGACATTTGATTTATAACATGGAAGAAGTTGTTAAATTAGGTATTGCGATTACACAAAGTAATCAGTTACCTTGAGATTTAGAATAATAATATTAAACAGCTGACTGCATTCATATTAGAAGTTACAATATTTATAGTAACAGATTTATGATCTGTCAGATAGATGACCATCCTACTCTAAAAGTAGTTAAGTCAAAATATAGTTAAGGGATTGCCTATTAGTTCATCCACATGCAAACAAAGTGAATTCTTTAAGAATCTAGCAAAACTACATTATAACCTTTTTTGCCATAATTCCCGAAGCAACACATATGCATGGTGGGAGATGAGGTCTACCAACATATTGACATTGGTGAATAAACAACAATGGAACTTGAACTTATTTCATGCCTAATTCGAAGGAACAAATACATAGAACAATAACAATTCTACCCAAAATATAATAAATATAAATCTTTTCTTGATGTGTAATTAATCATAAAATATTAACCCATGAAATAAACAGGAAGGAATCAATACTTCAATAGTATAAACAATGGAATCACCATAAAATGATATAGATAGGAATTTGATTGGGGTTGAAGGGATTTCAAATGGGATACACATACATAGTAAAATGCTTAGCTGACACAAAAATCCTTGTTTATAACTGATTAGTGTAATAATCTTGCAACAGCAAACCAATACTAGCGGACAGTAACATTATCTTCCACTTGGAGCAAAGATTCAACTCTGCTTCATAAAATAAAACTCAGAGCGGGCAACTTCTTGTATGCAGCACTGAAACATGATCACTAGGATACTCTTCGTGATTTTTCTAATTGGTTGTTTCAACACAAGAAAAGTAGAAGGAACATAACTAAATACAAGTGCATAACACAACTATGAGGATGATGGCATGATGCTACTAAAACTGAAAAGAGTAAGCCATCATTATATTTTGCAACAACCAATTAACTATATTAATTAAATGATACCATTGCAAAAGGAAAAGTGTTAGGAAGATCTACCAATACCTGAACAGTAGTTTTCTCCACAAAAAATTCCTTTACCTCATAGCAGAACGCTTTGACCTACAATTGGCTCTACCAGTACAAGAGAAAATTCATAGATTGAATGAAATATTGTTCGTGGGTGAGTGAAAGACAGAGAGAAACAGAGTTTGCAAAGTTGAATGAAGATGTTACCTTGGAGGAGGGAATTTGACATCAACATCTAGAGGAGGAGAGGGTGTCATCATGTGTATATAATCGCCCAAACCAAATCCCTTGATGCTGCTCATTGTAGTTCGTTTGTGCTGGTTGTGCACCCGCGAGAGGCTCCAGATCCACAAGGCTAGTGCCAGAAACATAGGGTTGGGCTGGATGGCAGCGACGGCGATGTTCCACCCTGAAGGACGGCTCTGAGCATTCCAGGTAGACGGAGAACATGTTGTCGAGGAGGCGAAGCAATAGAGATGGCCGGTGCCGCCATCTGGCAAGCTGGGGGTTGCCGATAGAAAACGAGAATGAGGGAGAGGAAACACTGCTCGAGGTCGTGGTGGGCGGCGGTGCGGGGAAGGCTACATCACGTCCAGCCGCCCGGATCGCCATGGCCGTCGCTCCGGGACCGTTCGTGACCTAGGTCGGCCGGCCATGGGAACAGCCGCCATGCGAAGGGTGTGAGAGGCGTTTGGTCTTGTGTTAGGGCATGTCTCTCTCTAAGTAGTTTTGGTGATTGATGACAATGCTTTTGTGGAATAATCGTGTGCGTTGAGTATTTTAGAGATTCATTCATTGGCACGAGACAATTCTTTCCCCTCGGAGCTTTAAGTGAAGACGGTGTAGTCTCTTTCGTTTTAGTTTTGGTGGACTTGAGTCGTAGGAGACACCATACTATCAAGAGGGGGTCCACAATGGAAAGGCTAGGGTGGAATCAACACGTACACGTCATTTTTGCACCCCAACTCCTTTCTTCTCCTTGGAGTTTGTTGTTTCAACAGAAGTGGAGATTGTGAGGAGATAGCGCTAGTAGTGCCGCTAGCGCGATAGTACCGCCCATGGTCCTCAAGTGGCAGTACCGCTGTCCTACAGCAGTAGTACCACTTGGGCGCATCGCGGCAGTACCGTCCTGGTTCGGCACCGCTACCGCCTCGATTCGAGGAGGTCTTTTCTCGTGTCGGGTTGTGTGGCAGTAGCAGTGGTGTACTTCCTGTGAGCGGTAGTACCGCGGCTACCACCGCTACTAGTGCTGCCCATACCCTCTTTCTCTCGCCCGTTCTCCCTCTGTTTCTTCTGCTCTCAGTCTCTGCGGTAGTACCGCTGGTGGTCGTGGTAGTACCGCTGCTACCAGCAGTAGTACCTC